TCATGTCTGACTCTGGGGGGTGATGCTCATCTCCATTTCTAAACCGAAGACTTGATGTTGTCCGTTGACACCTCCAAGGTCATGTGGCCAGCCAGACTGAAAGAAACACCATTACCTTCCCACAGAAGAGACACCTATTGATCTACTCACATTGGCATGTTTTCAAACTGATAGGTTGGCAGAAGCTGCAGTTAACAGCAGGAGCTCATCCCGTCTCACAGATTTGAACCACCGAACTTTCGGTCAGCAAATTCAGAGGTTTAACTCACTATGCCACCAGGGGACCCTGACTGTAGGATTAGGTGCTATGTTTAAAGTTTTTAATTGTATTTATATGTCTTATTTTGATGTTAATGCCCAATGTGTTGTATTTGTATGCTTTGTATTGTAATTTGGCATTGAAAGGTAGCTTAACTGTAAGCTGCTCTGAGTCCAGTTCGGGGTGAGATAGAGCAAAGACAAATATAGTAAATAAACAAATTAATATAATACAATAATACAGTATATATGATAATACTTGTGACAAAAATATTTTAATATATATTTGTACAATTTAATGGTTTTACCTATTTGTTTTTTAATACTTCTACGTTTAAATTGATTTCAAGGTTTATATGTTTTGGGGACACCCAATATAATATAATAATACAACAAATATGATAATAACTTTGGCAATAATATTTTAATACATTTTTGAAAAATTTAACTATTTTAAATATTTAATTTTAATACTACTAGGTTTAATTCTATTTCAAGGTTTGTATGTTTCTGGTAAAGGTAAAGGTTTCCCTTTGACGTTAAGTCTAGTCGTGTCCAACTGGGAGGTGGTGCTCATCTCCATTTCTAAGCCGAAGGGCCAGCGTTGTCCATAGATGCCTCCAAGGTGATGTGGCTGGCATGACTGCATGGAGCACCGTTACCTTCTCACAGAAGCAGTACCTATTGATCTACTCACATTTGCCTGTTTTCAAACTGCTAAGTTTGGCTGATGAGATAAGCTTTTGGCTGATGAGATAAGACTGTTGTTGTTGTTGTTGTTGTTGTATGCTTTCAAGTTGTTTCAGACTTAGGTTGACCCTGAGTGAGGGCCGAGTAAATGACTTTTGAGGGCCGTATTCAGCACCCGAGCCTTAGTTTGAGGACCCCTGCTCTATGACAAAGAGCCATCAGGATTTTCTCATTCCAGCATTTTCTGATCTTCTTTTTCTTTATGGCATTGTAAAACACCTCCCCCACGTTTAGGGGTACCTAATTTCTCAAATTACAGCTAAAGCTGTTTTTGAAAACAGTGAGCAGGGCTGAGGGTCGGCCGCTTACGCCGACCCGGGGCTTTGAACTTGCAATCTTTCGGTTAATAGATCTTATAGTTGCTGGTGATTTACCAGCTATGCTAAACCTCCAGCCCAATATACTATTATATTACTATATTGTACTATATGATTATATTACTATATTGTACTATACCATTCTATTGTAATATTATTAGTAATATTATATGTAATATAAAATACATAATTATAATATTGTATTATTATTAGTATTATAGTGTATTACATTATAATATTATAAATATTATATGTATATACAATCTATTATATTATAATATATTACTATATATTATAATATAATAGATTGTATATACATACTTAGTAATATTATATGTAATATAAAATATATAATTATAATATTTTATTATTAATAGTATTATATATATATTAATTATTTGTATTATAATATATTACTATATAGTAATATAAAATATAAATAATTAATACATTATTATTATAGTATTACATTATAGTATTATGAATATAATATGTATATACAATATATTATATTAAATTATATTATAATATATTTATTTTATTTATTTATTTATTTAATACACTTATATACCGCAGTATCTCAGCCTGGAACGGCGACTCATTGCGGTTTAACAACAGATAAAAGCAATATACAATTTAAAACAGCAACATATAAAACAATACGAATTATTGGGCCACCAATAAAACTTCATGCTTCTCATCACAAAAATCGCAGTCCAGAGATCGTTGTCCGTAATTGACCAGTCCAAATTGTCCATGGATTCAGTGTTTGATAACTAGTTAAACGCTTGACTACACAGCCATGTTTTTAACCTCTTCCGGAAAACCATCAGCGAAGAAGCCGATCGTATCTCTGAAGGGAGGGTGTTCCAAAGCCGAGGGGCTACCACAGAAAAGGCCCTGTCTCTCGTTCCCACCAGCCGCGCTTGGGAAGCCGGCGGGATAGAGAGCAGGGACTCTCCAGAAGATCTTAGGGCCCTGGCGGGCTGATAGGCTGAGATACGTTCGGATAGGTAAGTTGGGCCAGAACCGTTTAGGGCTTTAAAGGCCAAAACCAACACTTTGAATTGAGCCCGGTAGCATATCGGCAGCCAGTGGAGTTGGCGCAACAGAGGAGTTGTGTGCTCCCTGTGCCCCGCTCCAGTTAGTACCATGGCTGCCGCCCGTTGGACTAGTTGGAGCTTCCGGGCTGTCTTCAAAGGCAGCCCCACGTAGAGAGCATTGCAGTAATCAAGGCGGGATGTAACCAGAGCGTGGACTACCGTGGCCAAGTCAGACTTCCCAAGGTACGGTCGCAGTTGGCGCACAAGTTTTAGTTGTGCGAATGCTCCCCTGGTCACCGCCGAAACCTGGGGTTCCAGGCTCAGCGATGAGTCCAGGATCACACCCAAACTGCGAACCTGCGTCTTCAGGGGGAGTGCGACCCCGTCTAACACAGGCTGTAACCTATACCCTGTTCGGTCTTACGACTAACCAGGAGTACCTCTGTCTTGTCTGGATTCAATTTCAATTTGTTCGCCCCCATCCAGACCGTCACAGCGGCCAAGCACCGGTTCAGGACTTCGACAGCCTCCTTAGTAGCAGGTGAAAAGGAGTGACAGAGCTGGACATCATCTGCGTACAGGTGACATCTCACTCCGAAACTCCGGATGATCTCGCCCAGCGGCTTCATGTAGATGTTAAACAACATGGGAGACAGTATTGAACCCTGGGGAACCCCACAAAGCAAAGGTTGTGGAGTTGAGCAGGAGTCTCCCAGTAACACCATCTGAGACCGACCCTCGAGGAATGAGTGGAGCCACTGTAAAACAGTACCTCCCAACCCCATCCCCGCGAGGCGTCCCAGAAGGATACCGTGATCGACGGTATCGAAGGCCGCTGAGAGGTCGAGCAGCACCAACAAGGACACACTCCCCTTGTCGAGCTCCCGACGCAGATCATCCACTAAGGCGACCAAGGCTGTCTCAGTACCATGCCCCGGCCTAAAGCCAGACTGTGCCGGATCCAGATAATCCGTGTCTACCAAGAATGCCTGGAGTTGTGAGGCCACCACACGTTCCATGACTTTGCCCAAAAAGGGGAGATTGGAAACAGGCCGATAGTTGACGAATTGAGTGGGGTACTATGTTGTACTATACCATTATGTAGTGATATTAATAGTATTATAGTGTATTACATTATAATATTATAAATATTATATGTTTATACAATATATTATAATATATTACTATAGTAATATACTAATATATTACTATATCATTCTATTTATATTATATATAATATAAAATATATAATTATAATACTGTATTATTATTAGTATTAATTATTATTAAATTATATAATATTATATACATTATTATATTATATTATATTACTATATAATATATATAAATATTATTATTATTATACATTATAGTACAATATATATATATATTTAATATTGTACTATACCATTCTATTGTAATATTATTGTAATATTACATGTAATATAAATATATAATTATAATATTTATTATTATTATTAGTATTATACTGTATTACATTATAATATTATAAATATTTATAATTATTATATATTGTACTATATCATTGTATAGTAATATTACATATAATATAAATTATATAAGTATAATATTGTTTTATTATTAGTATTATACTGTATTACATTATAATATTATAAATATTATATGTAAATACAATATATTATATTATATTATATTAAAATATATTACTATATAGTAATATACTAACATATTACTATATTATACTATACCATTATATAGTAATATTATATATAATATAAAATATATAATTATAATATTGTATTATTAGTAGTTGTATTATATCGTATTACATTATAATATTACAAATATTATATGTATATACAATATATTATAATATATTACTATACCGTTACTATATTACTATATTGCACTATACCATTCTATTGTAATATTACCATTCTATTGTAATATTATTAGTAATATTATATGTAATATAAATATATATAATTATAATATTGTATTATTATTAGTAGTAGTATTATATTGTATTACATTATAATATTATAATATTATAAATATTATATGAATGTACAATATATTATATTATAATATATTACTATAGAGTAATATACTAATATATTACTATATTGTACTATACCATTCTATTGCATTAATAGTATTATATGTAATATAAAATATATAATTATAATATTGTATTATTATTAGTATTATATTGTATTACATTATATTATAAATATTATATGCACATACAATATATTATATTATAATATATTACTATATATATTACTATACTGTACTATACCGTTCTATTGTAATATTATTAGTAATATTATATGTAATATAAAATATATAATTATAATACTGTATTATTATTAGTATTACTTTATAATATTATGAATATTATATGTATATACTATATATTATATTAGAGTCTCTTTCAAGAGTGAAAAAGCAGAGTTTAAATAATAACAAATATCTTACCCTCCCAAGACTTCCCTTTGTCGCATTTCTGTGGGACCCAATCCTCCTTGTTGGGGAAGGGATCCCTATTCCTCCCTCTTGGGCAGGATCCCTGGGAATCCACCCTCCAGGGGTTCCCCTCAGGAATCCCCCCCAGATCCCCTTTTTCCTTCCCACCCATCCCACTCACCCTGGTTACAGAAAAGGCTCCACAGCTTCGCGAAGATCAGGCCCATCCCGAAGCAGAAGCAGAACAGCACCGCCGCCGCTTCCCTCTCTTCCCTCCTTCCTCCCTTCCTTCCTTTCAACGAAGTCTCTCTTTCCCTTCAAAAGCAGAGAGAGTGGGCGGGGCCGAAACCACCCAAGCCCCGCCCCCTCCTCTGACGCGAGAGCCACACAAGCAGCACTTAGAACCCCGCCCCTCCTCCCTTCCTTCCGTGGCTTCCTACTACGTCACTACGTTTGACGCACGCCCGTGACTAACCCACGTTGACGCAACGCCGAAACCGGAATGGGTTTTTTCCTCCTTTCCTCAGCATTCTCTAGAGGTAAGAACAACAATAGATACACTATCCACTTCCGATCGCTATTTGAAAAGCCACCATATGCGGGGATGGGCATCCCAAACCACCTTGTCTCTCTCCTGAGGAATCTGTACAAGGACCAAGTAGCAACAGTCAGAACTGACCACGGAACAACAGACTGGTTCAAGATTGGGAAAGGCACACGGCAAGGCTGCATACTCTCACCCAACCTTTTTAACTGTATGCAGAACACATCATGCGATGTGCGGGGCTTGATGAATGCAAAGCTGGGGTGAAAATTGCTGGAAGAAACATTAACAACCTCAGATATGCAGATGACACCACTCTGATGGCCGAAAGTGAGGAGGAGCTGAGGAGCCTTCTAATCAAGATGAAAGAAGAAAGCGCAAAAGCTGGGTTGCAGCTAAACATCAAAAAAACCAAGATTATGGCAACAAGAATGATTGACAACTGGGAAATAGAGGGAGAAAAGGTGGAGGCCGTGACAGACTTTGTATTTCTAGGTGCAAAGATTACTGTAGATGCAGACTGTGGCCAGGAAATCAGAAGACGCTTACTTCTTGGGAGGAGAGCAATGTCCAGTCTCGATAAAATAGTAAAGAGTAGAGACATCAGACTGGCAACAAAGATCCGCCTAGTCAAAGCCATGGTATTCCCTGTAGTAACCTACGGATGTGAGAGCTGGACCAGAAGGAAGGCTGAGCGAAGGAAGAGAGATGCTTTTGAACTGTGGTGTTGGAGGAAAGTTCTGAGAGTGCCTTGGACTGCGAGAAGATCCAACCAGTCCATCCTCCAGGAAATAAAGCCTGACTGCTCATTGGAGGGAAGGATACTAGAGACAAAGTTGAAGTACTTTGGCCACATCATGAGGAGACAGCAAAGCCTAGAGAAGACAATTATGCTGGGGAAAGTGGAAGGCAAAAGGAAGAGGGGCCGACCAAGGGCAAGATGGATGGATGGCATCCTTGAAGTGACTGGGCTGACCTTGAAAGAGCTGAGGGTGGTGACGGCCAACAGGGAGCTCTGGCGTGGGCTGGTCCATGAGGTCACGAAGAGTCGGAGATGACTGAACGAATGAACAACAAAATGCGGGGCAACCCCGTTTCTCACTCTAGTGCCACTCAAGGGTCCAAAGGAAACCGGAAGTGTTGAGCCTTGATGGAAGATATCCCTATATGGTTATGACTCATCTTCCTTTGAAATGCTTACGGTCTGGTGCAGACTAGGCTTTGCTTTGAGGGGACTACATTTCCCAGAATTCCTCCCCATTGACCACGCCGGCCGGGGCTTCTGGGAGCCGTGGTCCAAAATTACCTTGTGGGAAACTAAAGGCTGGGAACTGGCGGAGGCGACCACCACGAGGAGGCGGGCTTGAGCTGGGCGACAAGGGGGAAGCTCTCTTCCTCGTCCTTTCTTTGGACGTCCATGAAAGGAAGGGGGAGGAAGGACGAGGAGGAGGCTCCATATTATGGTCAGTATAGGCCCCTCCAGGCCTGGGCAAACTTGGGCCCTCCAGGTGTTTTGGACTTCAACTCCCACAATTCCTAGCAGCCGGTAGTCTGCTAGGAATTGTGGGAGTTGAAGTCCAAAACACCTGGAGGGCCCAAGTTTGCCCAGGCCTGGCTAGACTCAGATAATGCAATTAACAAAATAATATATAACATGTGCTCCTTCCATTACAGATGTTTCCCAGGTGAAAAACAAGACTTGCTGAGAACTATGACTCTTTTCCCCAAGATTTTGCTAAAGCCAGAAGTTGAAGACTATCTGAGGACTATATTTCACAATGCTGAGGTAAAGAGATACAGAAACTGGTGGACAATCTCATACCAGTTTTAGATTTTAGTGCTCAGAGGTTGTCCTTTTGTTTATTTGAAAGCGAGTCTGATTGAATTCAGTACATGTATAAAGGCCCTTACACACAGCCCTATATCCCAGAATAGCAAGGCAGAAAATCCCACAATATCTGCTTTGAATTGGATTGTCTGAGTCCACACTGCCATATATTCCAGTTTCAAAGCAGGAAATGTGGGATTTTATTCATATATGCCAGAATATCAAGGCAGAAAATCCCACAATATGTGCCTTGAACTGGGTTATCTGAGTCCACACTTTCATACATTCCAGTTTCAAAGCAGGAATTGTGGGATTTTATTCAGGGCCCTTCCATGCAGCCCTATATACCAGAATATCAAGGCAGAGAATCCCACAATATCTGCTTTGAACTGGATTATCTCAGTCCACACTGCCATATATTCCAGTTTCAAAGCAGGAAATGTGGAATTTTATTCAGGGCCCTTCCACACAGCCCCTATATGCCAGAATATCAAGGCAAAAATCCCACAATATCTGCTTTGAACTGGATTGTCTGAATCCACACTTACATACATTCCAGTTTCAAAGCAGGAATTGTGGGATTTTATTCAGGGTCCTTCCACACAGCCCTATATACCAGAATATCAAGGCAGAATATCCCACAATATCTGCTTTGAAGTGGATTGTCTGAGTCCACACTGCCATATATTCCAGTTTCAAAGCAGGAAATGTGGGATTTTATTCATGGCCTTTCCATACAGCTCAATATGCCAGAATATCAAGGTGGAAAATCTCACAATATGTGCCTTGAACTGGGTTATCTTGAGTCCACACTACTATATATTCCAGTTCAAAGCAGAAAATGTGGAATTTTATTCAGGGCCCTTCCACACAACCCTATATGCCAGAATATCAAGGTGGAAAATCCCACAATATGTGCCTTGAACTGGGTTATCTGAGTCCACACTGTCATATATTCCAGTTTCAAAGCAGGAAATGTGGGATTTTATTCATGGCCCTTCCACATAGTCCTATAATCCAGAATATCATGTCAGAAAATCCCACAATATGTGCCTTGAACTGGGTTATCTTGAGTCCACACTACTATATATTCCAGTTCAAAGCAGATAATGTGAGATTTTATTCAGGGCTTTTCCACACAGCCCTGTGTCCCAGAATATCAAGGTGAAATATCCCACAATATTTGATTTGAACTGAGGGCTTTTCCAGACAGGCTGTTTTCCCAGGACGCACCTGCTTTTTAAAAACATGGATCTTCCTGGGGGCCAATATACACACACCCTAGAAATAGCGTGCTTTCTGACGTGGGTGTCCAGATGTTCTTCCGGGAATGTCTGGGAGAACACCGGGACACCGCAACCCCTTCCCCAGAAGCCCACCCCCCCCAAAAAAAACATAGTTAAAAAAAGAAAAGAACTCACCCGGGCTCCATGAGGCAGCTCCCAGAGTTCTTCTGGTGCATCATTTTTAAAGGGGGGGGGGGAGAAGCAGAAGTGATTCCCCCCCTCCCCACCCCCTTTCTCCTGGCGTGTCATTCGTATGTGTCAGGAGAACTATGGCAGCCACCTCATGGAGCCCGTGTGAATTCTTTTCTTTTTCATTGTGTTTTGGGGGCTTCTGGGAACGGGGTTTGTATTTCTATTTAACCCAGAAAACTGAGGAAATATTGTCTGGGCTGTAAAGTTCTGCAGTCCAGACACCGGAAGTAGTGGGTTTATCCTGCGCCTTCCAAGAAGACGCAGAATAAACCCACTATCAGATTAATTTGCCACAAACCAACATTTTCCTGGTTTGTGACGAACTAATTTGGGTTTATCCAGGGCATCGCCTGGACAGCCCCCTTTATATTGCGGAAATTTCTGCATTAAAGGGGTTGTCTAGATCCACCCTGGGTTATCTGAGTCCACACTGTGTTATATTCCAGTTAAAAGCAGATAATGTGGGATTTTATTCAGCTGTGTGGAAGGTTCCTAGGACTGAGCTATCTGACTTGATCTACACTGCCATATAATCCAATTATATGGCAGCTTAGAAGGGGCCTGGCAGTACAAACATACCTCTGTGAAGGAAAAAGATGTGATCCTGGGTTTTACTTCTGTCACAGAAACATTGGTACCAGTGGTAGAAATAACATGGAAATGGAGAGGCTGTCAGGAAATAGGCTCATACCTTCATTATTTTAAATTTTGAAAAAAGGCAAGTAAAGAAATAAGAGCAATAATAAAAATAGAGATAGGGATTGTACCAAAATTAGTATTATTACTCATATATGATAATAGAATTCCCTCACAAGAGGAGAAGAAACTGTTCTCTAATTTACTAACAGCAGCAGGCTGTTCCTCCAGGAATGGCCTGCCCGCCCCCCCCCCCACACACACACCCTGATTTCCCCATTTTCATTCCTCTTTCACCCCAAAAAGTGAGGGTAACAGCTTCCCTAGGCCTCCCTTCTCCTCTCAGCTTCCTTTAAGGTTGGAAAAAAGCCAATCGATTGATCGATCAATTATTTCATCCCTTTGTTAAGAATTAGGACAATAGAAACCCTCCCAATCAAAACCTTCTTATCAATCAATCCATCCAGTGTAGCCCCTCTCTCCACTAATATTTCATCTCTCAATCAGTGATTCAATTGATCAATAATAAATGGATCAATCATTGTATCCAGCCATTAAGAACTAATATAGTGCCTTTCTCCCCACCCCCTCCCCAATCCTCTAAATAACTCTGACAACTTGGCAGTCAATTGATCTGCCTCTGAATCAATTGGTCTGATCAATTGATTAATTATCCATTGTCCCTTCCATCTCCTAAGAACCATCAGAGAATAGAAACACTCCTTTCATCCCACCAATCAATAAGTCTCTGAACTGATAAATCGTTACATTGATGAATAAATCGATGTATCGGTTAATTAGTTCAAAGACTGATCAATCGACTGATCGATTGTCCCAACCATCCCTTAAGAACTATAGAACACTATAAGTTCTTCTTTCTCCAATTAAACCTCTCTTGAAATCATTCCACCCATTGATCAATCAGTCAATGAATTGATCGATCGATACATCAATTGATTGATTGATTGATCATCCCAACCCTCCCTTAAGAACCATAGGGCACTATAAGTTCTTCTTTCTTCAGTAACACTTCACTTCAAATCATTAAACCAACCAATCAGCCAACCAATCAATCACAGATTCATTTATAGATTGCTGAATGAATCAATTTATACATTAGTCAATTGTTAAAGTAATCCCATCCTTTCATTAAGAACCATAGGGCAATGGAAACCCTCCCAATAAAAACCTCTCTTTGCATCAATATATCTAATGTAGTCCCTTCTTCCGCCAATATTCTGATTGATCCATAATTGAGCAATCAATAGTCTTATCCATCTACTCAGAATATAATGCCTTTTTTTCCTCAAAACCTACAGATTGAAACATCTCTTTAAGCTGGTCAATCAATCAATCAATCTTTACATTGATCATTGATTAATCAATTGATCGATCCATCGTCCCGTCCATCTTTTAAGAAGTCCAGGGCCGGATAAAGCCTTCTTTGCCCCAACCCTCTGCCCATTCCAATGGGTCTTTTGGAGGGCCCTTTGGCTTCCCCTCCCTTGGCTCATTAGGCTTCCCAACGGGGCCTACTAGATCTTCCAGAAGTCCTGAAGATGGCTGGCGCCATCGCTTCCCGGATGAGCTTCAGCTCCTTGAAGAGGAAGCAGCCCAAGACCTTCACTGTCCGCATCAACACCATGGAGGCTGAGATGGAGTTCAACTGTGAGGTCAAATGGAAAGGGAAGGACCTCTTTGACCTTGTCTGCCGAACGCTGGGGCTCCGCGAGATGTGGTTCTTTGGGCTGCAGTACATGATCAAGGACACCGTAGCCTGGCTCAAGATGGACAAGAAGGTCTTGGACCACGATGTCCCGAAGGAGGAGCCAGTCATGTTCCACTTCCTGGCCAAGTTTTACCCAGAGAACGCAGCGGAGGAACTGCTCCAGGAAATCACACAACACTTATTCTTTCTTCAGGTCAAGCAGCAGATTTTGGATGAGAAGATCTACTGTCCTCCTGAAGCCTCTGTCCTTCTCGCTTCTTATGCAGTTCAAGCCAAGTATGGAGACTACAATCCCAGTGTCCACAAACGTGGCTTCCTTGCTCAAGAGGAACTGCTTCCGAAACGAGTAATAAACCTATACCAGATGACCTCAGAAATGTGGGAGGAAAGGATCACCGCCTGGTATGGCCAACATCGAGGAAGAGCTAGGGATGAGGCGGAAATGGAGTACCTCAAGATTGCCCAGGACCTCGAGATGTACGGCGTCAACTATTTTGCAATTCGGAATAGGAAAGGAACCGAGCTACTGCTGGGGGTGGGCGCCTTGGGCCTCCATATCTATGATCCAGAAAACAAGCTGACCCCAAAAATCTCCTTCCCATGGAACGAGATCTGCAATGTCTCCTACAGCGATAAGGAGTTCACAATTAAGCCCCTGGATAAAAAGATTGATGTCTTTAAGTTCAGCTCCTCCAAACTCCGGGTCAGTAAGCTGATCCTCCAGCTCTTCATCGGGAACCATGACTTGTTCATGAGGAGGAGGAAAGCGGACTCCTTGGAGGTCCAGCAGATGAAGGCCCAGGCCCGGGAGGAGAAGGCCCACAAGCAGATGGAACGGCAGTGTTTGGCACGAGAGAAACAAATGCGGGAAGATGCTGAACGAACCCGAGACGAATTGGAGTTGCGGCTATTGCAATTAAAAGAAGAGGCTACCATGGCCAATGAAGCTTTAATGCACTCAGAGGAAACAGCGGACCTGTTGGCCGAAAAGGCCCAGATCACCGAAGAGGAGGCAAAGCTCCTGGCCCAGAAGGCAGCCGAAGCAGAGCAGGAGATGCAGCGGATCAAGGCCACAGCCATCCGGATGAAGGAAGAGAAGAGGCTCATGGAGCAGAAAGTCCTGGAGGCTGAGATGTTGGCACTCAAGATGGCAGAGGAGTCTGAGCGAAGGGCAAAGGAAGCCAACCAGCTCAAGCAGGACCTACAAGAGGCGCGAGACATGGAGCGAAGAGCCAAGCAGAAGCTCCTAGAAATAACCAACAAGTCCTCCTACACACAGGGCATGAATGCGAGTCCTGCTGCCACACTGCCCACTGATTTACCCTCCTATGGATTTATTAGCGAGAGCCTCTCCTTCGACTTCAAAGATACAGATATGAAGAGGTTGTCCATGGAGATTGAGAAAGAGAAGGTTGAATACACGGAGAAAAGCAAGCACCTCCAAAAACACCTGAATGAGCTGAAAACAGAAATCGAGGCTTTGAAGCTAAAGGAGCGAGAGACAGCAATGGATATCTTGCACAACGAGAGCAATGACCAGAGCAACAGCAAGCATACTATCAAGAAGTTCACTTTGCAGAACACAAAATCCCGAGTGCCTTTCTTTGAGGAACTCTAGAGCAAATGAGCTGAAACAGTTATAAACAAACCCGATGCCGGAAACAAAGCTGCCATCTTTCCTTTTACTTCCTTTTGTACTGTTTGCTAACTTTTGTAATAATACATGATGATGGCGCTCTGTTTTTTGCCACCGTTTTTCCTATTTCTCCCTTCTTTTGGGAAGGAATACACACACACACACACACAAATTGTTCCTCTTTAAATTGTCTCCCTCGTTTTGGGGAAATGTGATTTCCTCCTCTGTGAGTTTTGTTATATTTTATCCCTGTTTATTTGGATTTTATCGCACCAACTTGTTGCTAAAAGAAATGGAAATATATCATCATTGCAACAAATTGTTTTCTCAAAAAAAGATTATAAAAAATACTAACAGCAACAAAAATGTTAATAACAAAACATTGGAAAGAAATAAAGGAAATTCAGTTAGAAGAATGATACAGAGAAATTTGGAACATGGCTATTAATGACAAATTGACTTGCGATATTAAAATTAAAAAGGGAATATTGAAACAAACAGACTTTTGGAAAATATGGGGAAATGTATTTTGTTTACCTTCAATGAAGGAAAGGGATACAAGCCAGCAACAGAAGTTTTGGATAAGATGAGTTGGTTGGATCTGGTGAAGGTGGCAAAAAATAATGATGGAGGCGGGGGGGGGGGGGGGGGGGGTAAAATAATAATAATAATAATAAAGAAATAAAATATGTATAAGTAGATAAAAGATGTGTAGTACAGGTATATGTTGTATGCATTGTAATTGGGAAAATTAAAAACTGATATGAAGTATGCTTAAGGTATGTTTGATTTTTCTTTTATTTTCTTGGTCTAAAAAATGTTTTCCTCTTCGTAAGTGATTTCTGAATGGAAAACAAAAAACATTTTACAAAAAACCATCAACAATTTTGGCAGAATATGGGGAGAAAGACATGATTAGGCTGGTGAATTTAAGAAGGTAATGGACCCCAAAGTAGATAGAAATTGCTAAAGAAAAAATGATACAAAGGAAGTGAGACTCCCAGGTGCACTGATGGAAGAATTACAATATTTGGAACTATATGACTCATGGAGATTACATAATTTAGGTAGAAGAGAACAGTCCTATTGCTCCTATAGACATGGAACTACATCCTGAAATGATAACATTTTTGCAACAAAAGAGCTGATAGTAAAACTGAAAAAGCAGAATTTCTACTGAGAGTGCTTTCAGATCATAATCCAGTTTTGTTAAGCAGGACAATGGAAAAGGAAGCAATGGAGCATAAATGATTCTTTACTGAAAGACTGAAAAGGCAAATGGATTCCCTTGGGACTAAAAAGACCAGTATCCACTAATTGCAGTGATGCAAATGTATCTAAACACATAGAAGTTCAATGTATACATACAAATACAAATGTCAGTAAAACATTATTACATTTACATTTTAACAGAAATGTGTTCTTTTCTCAAAAGATGAAAAAATTCCTCTTCACGTGTGTGGAAATAGTTATCTTTACTACAGATGAGTAGACTCCAAATCCTTGCACAGTAAATGTCTGTTTTCTTTATTACACAAGAGCAGACACCAACATTCAACCGAGTCTTCATCAGGTTGTTGGGTTTATCAAAAAAGCTCAATATTTGAGGCAAGGGGTCTATTAATAGTGCTCTTGAAAAATGGATCAACAAGCTCTTGTTAACCAGCATACTCTGCAAAGGTGTTTTATTATGTAGTGAATACACTTGGAGTCTACTCATCTGCAATGTTTTTATATGTTTTAATATTCATTAATTTTAATTTTACATTTTTAACAAATATATTTTAATTGTATTTTGTCCAAAGGCATTGAATTGTTCCCTATACACAAAGCCACCTTGATTCCCCTTCGGGGTATCATATGACAAAAAAGCCAGATTCGCATCTAAGAATGTCATAGATGCAAAAATAAAGGTGGGGGTTAGCCCTCCCAAACTTTAGTTACTACTATGAAGCAGCAGGATTTAGTTGTTTAAGAAGTGGATTACACTTGCAGACCACACCTTACCTAACTTGGAGGGGTATAACTTGAGATATGGATGACATGCTTACTTATGGTATAGAAAAAAATAAGGTGTGCAAAGAATTTAACAATCCAATAAGATCTAGTCTCCTAAGGATTTGGAAGATGTATAAAGAAGGGATGGAGCCAAAAAGCCCTTTATAGCTGTGTCCATTGAAAGCAGTACTTAGGCCAACATCCAGTGAGGAAATAAGAACTTATAGCGAGTATCTAATTAAAGGAAAAGATCAATGGAAATTAAAATTGAGGTAAGAGATAGGGATAAGCAACTGGCTCTATTACCATCAATTACATGATCAATTTAGAAAAGGTGTTAAAGTAGGGCTTGCTAACAGAAAAAAAAACATTGGAATGTACTCTTGAGAAGGGGAATAAGGGTTTAGTTTCTAGATTATATGTATATATATTAGAATAAAACTTAGAGGACAATAGAATAAAAATTGCTATGATCCCCTGAGTTAAAGACCTAGGGGAAAATATTGATCTGGAGAAATTGGAGTATCTTTGGAAAAGTGGATTTAAATTCTCAATAGCTCACTCCATCTGAGAAAATATTTATAAGATGTTTTATAGATGTTATATAATGCTGGTGATAATAGCCAAAATGAATAAATCCATCTAAGGGAATGCTGGTGGTGTAAGATGCAGAAAGGCACCATTTTTCCATATTTGCTGGACCTGTAGGATTGTACAAGATTTTTGGGAAAAGGAGATTAAGGAAACAATACCATTACTAATAATGTTTTTAAAATCCAGAAATGTGCCTTTTAGGAATATTTAGGGAGATAATTAGTAAAGGAGATGAGGAAATTTGTCAATATAGCTTTGTTGCAGCAAGACCAACAATAGCAAAATCATGGAAAGATTAAAAAAGAAGTATAAAAAAAGGATTGGAGAGAAATATTGGACTATATTCAAACGGCCAAGTTATCTAATGGTATCCAGGGAGGAAATAATAAAGAGTTTGTTTAAAAATGGAGATTAGCATTTGAATACATGGACATATGGGTTTTAAAATAGCCAGAAGGGGAATTTACTAAAGTATGTATAAGGGTAGAGTTTATTAGATACTAGCTTGGGTACCCAGTGTTGCCCGGGTTATTTGAAAAAGTCAATTTTTAATTGTACAAAATGCATAAGGTTGTGGATGAACTACAACTCACATAATGCCAGGTAAACCCTGAAAATCTCAGTCAGTACTTAAAAGTTCGTTATGTTGGGCAAGTTTTCTCTAGCTGCATCATCTGTGGGCTCGGTGGGCTCTCTGGCTGTAGGGTAAACTACAACTCAGTCCGCTCAAACCCCTCCAGTAGGTTGAGTTAGTCATTGGGGTTCTGTGTGCCAAGTGTGGTCCAGGTCCATCATCGGTGCAGGTCACAATTTCTCTGGTTGTGGGTGAACTATAACTCTCAGAAAGGAAGGTCAGTTCCCCACAAACCCCTCCAGTAATCAAATTTTGGCATATCAGGTATGTGTGCCAAGTTTGGTCCAGAACCATTGCTCTATGGGTTCACAGTGCTTTCTGGATATAGGTGAACTACAACTTCCCTAAATCAATGTGAATTTCCCCTCAAAGGCCTCCAGTGTTTTTTGCTGGTCATGGGGGCGTCATGTACCAAATTTGGTCCAATTCCATCTTTCGTGGAATGAGTGCTCATTGATTGCTGGTGAACTATAAATACCAATACCTACAGCTTCAAAATGTCTAGGCCAATTCCCCTCAGAACCCACCAGTATTCAAATTTGGGTATATTGGGTATGCATGCCAAGTTTAGTTCAGATCCATCATTGTTTGAGTTTATAGTGCGCTCTGGATGTAGGTGAACTACAACTCCAATAAATTCCCTCCAAAGACCTCCAGTATTTTTTGTTGGTCATGGGGATTCTGTGTGGCAAGTTAGTTTCAGATCCGTTGTTAGTAGAGTACAGAGTGCAGTTCTTAGATTGCAGGTGAATTATACATCCCAGTACCTACAACTATAAATCATGGTGAATTCTCCCCAAACCTCTCTAGTTTGTTAAGTTGCTGATCAATTCGTCTCTTTGCTGTGTGCTATAGAAAAGAACATAAAATGGTTAAGGGAGAGGCAGTGGGCATGATTATGCAAATTCCACACAAATAGAGTTATTTATTTATTTATTTCACGTATTTGTATCCTGTCCTTCTCACCCCCGAGGGGGGACTCAGGGCAGCTTTTCAACAGGCAACCATTTGCTGCCATCACACAATTTATAAATAACAATTACAAATTAAAACAATTAGTTAAAACATCAGTTATTAACACATTCATTTAAAATCATATAAGAAACACGGGGATGTCTGTAGTGGAGGAAACATAAAATCTAGTACCTTGTATGAAAGCCTTCACTTGGGTGGGGCGCAGTATGGCATTTGTGGAGGACATTGGCAAGGTTCTTGTACATGTTCATTGTGCTCACGACCTGCAATATCATTGGAGGGAGGACCGTTGGTGTCTCCTGAGAAGTGGGGCCTACAGCTGTTTGTGGAGGCAAGAGCTTGTCTGTATAAGTGGACATTCCAGCCACATAACACACATACATATGAAAAGTGATATGTGTATATAGATATAGATAGATAGTTGGGACTCACAGTGAGTAGTGTCGGAGGTCATGGGTGGTGGGCTCACAGGTAGCGAGTAGGAGGGGAAAGATTTGGATAGAATATTGCAATGTATTTGGGGAGACTATGTATTGGTATTAAATGTATTTTATTATCTCTAGATGTTACTCCTTTTATATTCCTTATCCCATTAATTTCACTCAGTAAAAATCTTTTAAAAATTAAAAAAAATCCATAAGTGATTCTGGAGGCAGCTGATTAACTTGACTGTTGTATGCTACAGTAGGATCACCTAGAGAAAAATTCTATACTGTACTTTCCCAGATCAATCTTTCTTGCATTGTTAACTTAAGACACATTGCTGCAACCCAGTACTGAAAGTCTCTCTTTCTCCAGACCTCTTTCACCATCCTCTCCATATAGTGGTTGAATGTTAGACTAGGACTGGGTGACTTTGGACAAAAATAACTTCCAGAACCGGGCTCCCATAAAACGGGTTTATATATAAAAAAGAGCTTTGTTGGTAAGGCAGCTTTGTTACTGCAACATACTCGACGTGGGGTTGCCTTTGAAGACTGTTCGGAAGCTTCAAATGGTCCAATGGACGACAGCCAGATTGCTCACTGGAGCAACGTTCAAGGAGAACACAACTCTCTTATTACACCAGTTCCATTGGCTGCCAGTTTGCTACTGAGCACAATTCAAAGTGGTGTCTTTAGCCAATAAAGCCCTAAATGGTTCTGTCCCAGCTTATCTGTCCGAATGTATCTCCCCTTATGAACCATCTAGGAGTTTAAGATCATCTGGGGACGCCCCGCTCTCAGTCCTGCCTTCTTCGTAGGCGCGATTGGCAGGGATGAGAGGCAGGGCCTTCTCAGTGGTAGCCCCTCGGCTGTGGAACTCCCTCCCTAGAGATATTAAATCAGCCCATTTCCTCTTGACCTTCGGCAGAAAAGTGAAAAAATGGTTTAATGAACAAGCCTTTGGGAACCTCGTGCAATAGATAAACATGGAACTATGTGAAACCGAATACTGGAACGGCTTAGACGTTTTTGAACGATGAGGCTAATAGTGAAGGTAGTGGTTTTATATGTTTTTAAAGGTTTTAATGAATGTAGTTTATAATTCTGTTTTAAATGTTTATTATAATTTTTACATTGTTTTAATGGCATCAAATAGCTGCCTATGCTGTAAAGCCGCCTTGAGTCACCTTTGGGTTCAAAAAAGGCAGGGTAGAAATATCCTAAATAAATAAATAAGGATTTGTTAACTAATTTATGCCTGTATACATATACAGTTTTCTGTTATGAAGCCACATATGAAAGGTACAGCTTTGTGTATAGTAAGGAAAAATCCAAAGGCTCCCCCCCCCCATTTCATTTATATTAGGTTGAATCAAGATATTAATCCAAAAAAAGTATTGTGAATCAGTGAGATGTGTTAAATCAGTGCTTGTACAAATCTCATTTATTTAATGGGTTTACTCTTGTTAAGATTAGCAGTTGGATTTAGCTACATTTTAATATCGCCATATTTACAGATTATTATTTTTTGTTTCTAATTGTTTAAACAATCGTATGAACCTGTTGAAGGGTGAAATATAATGCTGTAAATGATAAAAACTGGTTTGAGTTAAATCTGAATTAATTTTCTTTAATTGTTTTGTATCTTAGCTTTCGAACTAGTGTCATATAGTGGTTGAATGTTAGACTAGGACTGGGTGACTTTGGACAAGTAAACGCTCAGCCTTAGAGGAAAACTTCCTCTGAAAATGTCTTGATAAAAACCTCATGATCTCATCTCCATAAGCCAGAGTTGGCTTGAAGGCTCACGACAATCAATCTGCTATAAGTAAACCTTATGTATAAGTCAAGGGCAGGTTTTGAGGTATGGAGAGAGGGAAAGGGCCAATGCCAACTCAGAGAACCAGCAATCCCTGGCCGCCTCTGGCATTCCCCCACCCAGGTGTCCAAAAAATCCAGAAATAGCATTATGGTATATAGGGTAACTGTTATTTCTCTAATACATTTTTCTTGCTATACATTTTTAGCTTGTTGCAGCTATTGGTCCACAGGAAGCTGAAAAGAAGTATGAATCTCTGTTAAATAACTTATCTCATCCACCTGCTTTCACAACAGTACGAGTGAACACTTCTTTGGCATCTGTGGAACATATAAGAGGTCTGCTTTGTGAAGAGATCCACAAGGTTTGTGCAATGTCTCCTCCGTGGGTCAAAGCTTTGGGCATATAGGTCTAGATTCAGGTTTGGGCCCACATGTACACACTGATGGGTGATATAGCTAAAACTAGGGCACCACCTACTCCCATTCTTGGAGATTTTAGATTTGACAACAGTGACAAGGTCTTGATTATATATATACAATTGGATTATTGTATATGGGGCAACATTTGGCAACTGCAGTTGATCCTCAATCGGTGATTCCCATCCTTTGGTCCTCCAGGTGTTTTGGACTTCAATTCCCAGAAATCTCAGTCAGTTTACCAGCTGTTAGGATTTTTTTTTTGTCGTGTCAGGAGCAACCTGAGAAACTGCAAGTCACTTCTGGTGTGAGGGAATTGGCTGTCTGCAAGGACGTTGCCCAGGGGACGCCTGGATGATTTGATGTTTTATCATCCTTGTGGGAGGCTTCTCCCATGTCCCTGCATGAGGAGCTGGAGCTGATAGAGGGAGCTCATCCACCTCTCCCCGGATTCGAACCTGCGACCTGTCGGTCTTCAGTCCTGCCGGCACAGGGGTTTAACCCTCTGCGCCACCGGGGGCTCCACTGTTAGGAAGTGTGGGAGCTGGAGTCCAAAACACCTGGAGGATCAAAGGTTGGGAACCACTGTCCTAAATGCTGCTGTTGAATAGAGCTGGTTATTGCCTACAGCTGTCTCACAAAAATAGCGTTATTTCACCATTTCTGGGCAAAAATAAAAGTGCTGGTTATGACCTTTAATACTCTGCATGGCTTGGATTCAGAGGATCTAGTAGAGCATGGGCCCATCTACTATTTTAATGTAGTTCAAAGCTAGCAGTAGCCAGACAACAAACTTCCACAAAAGTGTGTGAAAGAAAGCCCTTAATGTGCATGAGTGCTCTATAGTTTGGCCTCTGTTTTCATTTGGCCTCTGTTTTCATTTGGCCTCTGTTTTCAGTTTTTCCTATTTAATCATCTGCACAGTGGAACCATTTTCTTTACTAGCTATTTGAAATTGCATTTTTTTTATTTTTTTATGACATTTGTGACATTTATGACATTTATATCCTACCCTTCTCATCCCGAATGGGACTCAGAATGGCTTACAAGTTATATGTACATACAATATATTATGCAATATCAGTATTATGTATTACTATATTGTACTATACCACTATACTGCAATATTATTAGTAATATTATATGTAATATAATTATTATATTATGCTATTTTATTTATTATATTGTATTACAATATTAAGATCAATATGTACATACAATCTATTATATTATTAGCATAGCACAATATTAGTATTATAAATTACTATATTGTACTATACCACTATACTGCAATATTATTAGTAATATTATATGTAATATATAATATTATATTATGATATTGTATTATTATTATATTGTATTATAATATTATAATTAATATTATATGAGGGGTATTTTTTAAGTAAGGTCCGTTTAAGTACACAACGAAAGTACACAACTAAAGTTTATTTCAAAAAAGTAAATTTATTTTCAGAAAGTACATACTTCACTCTATTTTTCGACATAGTTGCCAAGTTTGTTCAAACACTTATCATACCTCTGAACCAATTTTAAAATACCCTCTTCATAAAAACTTGCCACCTGCTCCGATAACCAAGAGTTCACTGTAATCAAAGAAGGGTGACCGGAGCGGTCCTCATCATGGACGTTGTCATGGCCATCTTTGCATTGTCGTACCCACTTACACACTTTGCTTTCACTCATAACAGTATCACCGTACACTTCAAAAATCTGTCGATGAATTTCTGCAGCAGGCAGGTTCCTTGCTGACAAAAACCGTATCACTGAGCGAACCTCACATGCGGAGGGTGAGTTGATAGTCTTAAACATTTTTAAAGCACAGAACAGAACCTTACAGGTTAGCTACAGAGCGGAAACTAAGCACAGTTGTTCCCGAGGCATGCCGGTACACAACGCACGCGCTCGTTGCGATATGTGTGTGAACTACTAGTGTCTACAACAAAACGGACCTTACTTAAAAAATACCCCTCATATGTACATACAATATATTTCATTATTAGCATAACACAATATTAGTATTATATATTACTATATTGTACTCTACCACTATACTGCAATATTAGCAATATTACATGTTAAATATAATATTGTGTTATTATTAGTATTATATTGTATTAAATTATAATATTACTATCAATATTATATGTATATACTAGGGCTGGGCGGTTTCGTTCGTTAATTTCGTAATTCGTTAATAATTCGTTATTTTTCTTGATAACGAAGCGATAACAAACCATTCAGGAGCAACTAAAAAACGAAACGAATTTTTAAAGCTATTTCGTAATTGTTTTGTAATTGTTTCGTTATTATTTCCGTATGTCTGGTGCAAGTTTTATAGTTGTTTCCCTCCCCTCTCCCTGGTTGCAAGCGGTCGGCATTTACCCCACTTCCGGGTCCCTGGCCTCTGCTTAAGTGGATCAAATTCTCCTCTCCTCCTGTCGTCACCTCACCTCGTTCCTCACTCTGGCCTGCGTGCATTGGGCAAAGAGACACAGCAGTGCAGCACTCAGAGACCTGCCTGTTGCCTGCCTAACCTCTTTCCTTCTCCAGGTTAAAACTATTATATTAATTATATTTATTATTATTATTATTATTATTAAGAATGGATGGCCATCTTTCAGTAGTGCTTTGACTGTGCCTTACAAGCACGAAGGCAGAAAGTGGTTTGTTATTATTATTATTATTATTATTATTATTGAGAAGCATTGTCAAACCAGAATAGAGATCTCACCCCTCCTCTCTCTCTCTTTCCCCCCCTTTCCTTCTCCGAGGTTAAAACTATTAATTATATATTTTATTATTATTATTATTATTATTATTATTATTATTATTATTAAGAATGGATGGCCATCTTTCAGTAGTGCTTTGACTGTGCCTTACAAGCACGAAGGCAGAAAGTGGTTTGTTGTTATTATTATTATTATTATTATTATTGAGAAGCATTGTCAAACCAGAATAGAGATCTCACCCCTCCTCTCTCTCTCTTTCCCCCCTCTTTCCTTCTCCGAGGTTAAAACTATTATTTAAAACTATTATTTTCACGTTGCGCAACCGCGTCCGCCATTTTAACGAATTGATTCGTTAATATTAACGAAATTTCGTAAATATCAAACTTTTTAAAAGGAAAATTTCAGAATTCTTTTAAATATCGAAACGCAAAAAACCCCAAAAAACGAATCGATTTTAGAAACAAATTTTTCCGTTGTTACCCAGGCCTAGTATATACAATATATTATTAGCATAGCACAATATTAGTATTATATATTACTATATTATTGCTGGGGGGAGGGGCTCCCAACTGATGACCCAGAAGACATGGTGGAACTAATGCTGTATTAAATGATCAGTGTAGATGTGGCCCATATCTCCATATATAAGTCTACTGAGTTTTACACTCTTCAAGTAAAGGCATTCTCCCTGGCCTCTGCTATTTTCCACTCCAGGAGCCAAAGAGCTTTTTAATTAGGCACACTTTGGTTCTTACCTCAATGTGGCAAAATTGGTCTTTGAATAGGGCCCCTTCTATATTGCCCTATATTCCAGAATCTGATGTCAGATTATCTGATTTAATCCAGATTATATGCGTCTCCTCTGCCAGATAATCTGGGATAAGAAGATAATCTGGGGTCAGATACTTGGATATAGGGGCAGTGTGGAAGAGGCCTAGGTTTAAAACATAGTGAAAAAAGTTATGCTATGACTTTTCACTATGTTTTAAACATATTTTAAATTGTTTTAAATTTGTGCTTTAATTGAGTTACTAATTTAATTATTTTTTTGTATTAAAAAGCTTTTAAGTGTCCTTTGTTTTAATTTCTTGTCAGCTCTTTTGGGCCCTGTGGTTGGAGAAAAATGTGATATAAATTAAATAGTTGTAGTACTGATGATCACAGTAATGATAATGGTGATAATAGGACCGACAGTTGAAATAATTAAGAAAAATTGCCTAACTTGCAATAATGCTTCTTTTATTTCTCTAAAGTCTCAGAAATATGCATTTCTTTTCTAACTTATAGCAATATGCAAGTCTTAGCGTTCCAGTTCTTCCGCATCCACAGCTTCCTGACACCTTAGTTATACCTGTTATTGGTCCCAGGTCAGTGTGTTTTAGAATATTATAGTATTTACCTTGTTTTACATTAAATACTTCTGCTAATGTATGGACCAGTCTTGAACCTTGAAAATGGATTAGAACAGATTTACCACTGCTAAATCGGTAATGAGCAGGTTGGCATGTTCATGCTAAACTATAATTACCATTAGGAAGATGAACTGTAGCATGTCTTAGGCATATGCCCCCTTTTATAGCACATTCTTGAGGAATAATTTAAAAGTGTCTGACTCTCTGTGATTAATCATAGCTTTTCATGTTCTAATCTGTCAATCTGGTTAATTTCAGCAACGTTTTGTTCACATAACTCAGCCTCAAGCCATGGGTCATTGAGAGTGCATGCTTGAACATTACATTAACCACAGTTTGGGGTTTGGAAGCTATTAACCTCCTTGCAGTTCTGGAGGAGATAGGAAGCAGAGTAGCACTCAGCATTATATGCGAAGTCTTTTCAGGGATTTAACTTTCACAATGCATGTAAATCAGTGATGGAAAATACAATTGGTAAACATAAAAAAGATAACCAATATGCTTTAAATAGAGAAAATGTGCAGGATTAACTTGCATTCTTGATAAACTTGACCTCTCTACATGTAGATTTACTGACTTTCTTCTTCATTGGTGTTTTTTATGTGTATATTACAAAGCTTTTAAAATGTTAGTTTATTAAATCTACCATATATACTCGAATATAAGCCGACCCGAATATAAGCCAAGGCACCTAATTTTAAGGAGCCCCCGGTGGCGCAGTGGGTTAAACCCCTGTGCTGGCAGGACTGAAGACTGACAGGTCGCAGGTTTGAATCCAGGGAGAGCGCAGATGAGCTCCCTCTATCAGTTCCAGCTCCTCATGCGGGGACATGAGAAAAGCCTCCCACAAGGATGATAAAACATCAAAAACATCCGGGCGTCCCCTGGGCAACGTCCTTGCAGACGGCCAATTCTCTCACACCAGAAGCAACTTGCATTTTCTCAAGTCACTCCTGACACAACAAAAAAACCCCAACCTAATTTTATCACTAAAAAACTGGGAAAACGTATTGACTCGAGTATACAGCGAGGGTGGGAAATGCAGCAGCTACTGGTAAATTTCAAAATAAAAATAGATACCAATAAAATTACATTAATTGAGGCATCAGAGGTTAAATGTTTTTGAATATTTACATAAAACTGTAATTTAAGATAAGACTGTCCAACTCTGATTGAACCATTATTCTAACCTTCTTCAATGTAAATGTGCATAGTATCTTTCCAATAAAAATAGAGTAAAATAATAAATGAAATAAAATAATAATAATAGAGTAAAATAATGGAAATGTAATAACAGTAATAATAGAATAAAATAATAAATGTAATAATAACAATAAAGATAGAGTAAAATAATACATGCAATAGCAATAATAAATAGAGGAAAATTATAAATGTAATAAATAATAATAATAAAGGAAAATAATAAATATAATAATAACAACAACACCAACAACAGAATAAAATAACAAATAACTTTGACTCGAGTATAAACCGAGGGAGGCTTTTTCAGCCTAAAAAAAGGCTGAAAAACTCAGCTTATTCTTGAGTATATAAGGAATTTCAAATTCAAAAGCCAAGTGCAATATTGCACAGTTGTTGTCTTGTTTTCTTAGAAGCAATAATAATGGGGTAAACATCATATAGGAGAAATAAAAGACCAAGAGTAGGCAGCTAAAAACAACAGTTTTCTTAATTATGTTAATAGATTTTCCTGAACTGTTATTTTCTCTCTCCAGAAAGGATCTACAAAAATTGGCAAATGAAGCTATTGTTGGTGCCCAGTGTGGGAGTGCGGTGCTTCGGGGAGCTCATGTCTATGCCCCTGGAATTGTATCAGCATCAAAATGTAAGACCTTTTTTCCTTTACTTTTCTGAAGCATTTAAAGGGAAAAAAAACATAGTATCTGGTAGTTGCTTCTCCTTGGTGTATTAATACCAATAATAACATTTTTGCATATCTACATCTGTTTTATTTTGTTCTGTTTCATTGTCATTACTAACTATAAGTGCACAGAAAGCGTTCCAATCTGATCCATTTCTGTGCTAGAGTTTGCTCCAAATAAATAAAAATAAATAATTATGAATAGAAGGCCTTGAATTTGTAGTCTAGTCAAGTTCCCTTGTGATTGTGTCATTGTTCTCATGCCAAAGAACGTATACTCTGGAAACCTCTCTTATTCTCCCCATTTCTAGTTATGAGAGCTGGTGATCTGGTTTCGGTTTACTCTGACATTGAAGGGAAATGTAAAAGAGGAGCCAAAGAATTTCTTGGGACCAAAGTTTTCATTGGAAATGGGATTTCTGAACTAAGCCGCAGTGAAATTTTTAATTCTAACGGCCCATTGAAGTAAGTAAAAAAATGTACAGTAATTATTATGATATTTTAAAAAGAAAACTAGTCCATTTTCAAAACATTTCTCAGTAGACAGCACATTTTGGACATAATTGAAAGTGCAAAAAAAAATATTCACAGGCAACAGTAATTTAAATTAAGCTGTAATTTGATATTAAAGATTTCTCATGTTTTGTGGGAAATTTAGCTCATTTATTTTGAGTTGAAAACTGTTTTAAATAAAATATGCATTGGTCTTAAAAACAAAGGCAACAGCCCCTTAATGTGTGCTCTGACTTTTTGTGCCACTGTTTCCAACTATTATGTTCTTAGCGCAACAGTTCCCAACCTTTTTTTTGATGAGGGACCACTTGACGAGGGACCACTTTGACCAGGGACCACTCTCCAACATTCGTACCAAAAGCGTTACGAATCAGGTTTTGGTCAACTTTAGATTCAGTTTGGTTATTTGGGGTGCTGATTCAGAAAATTGCATTAGATAGACCACATCAGCTCTAGTTTCTGATACAGAACATATGCCCTCCAGTAGTCGCCATCTGCTCGCCCACAGAAAACCATATTTAGTAAGCCTCGGCACAATAAGAGGCTTTCGTGAGACCAGTTGCTCTCGTTGCAACGGTGAGGCGGTGGACCATATTTTAATTCTTGAGGACCACTGGTGGTCCACAGACCGCAGGTTGGGAACCACTGTCTTAGAGTAAGCTGCATTCTAGCTGCCAGAGAACAGAAGCAGAATATCTTTGGCCTCGAGTCCTGCTTCTTATAGACTCCTGGTTGATCTCTCAATAAGTACTTAGACTTCATTGACTGTCCTTTGTCTGGCCAAAAAAAGGTGAATGAATCTATTCTGCAAGCCTAGAGGAGAGACAAATCACATTCTAAATACATTAAAGAGACCTCTGCAGTGCATGTTGCCCCAGATTCCTCTGCAGATTCCACATTGTTTTCAAATTAACCTTAAAAGGTATTACTAAGGTGAATATCAAATTGTACTCAATTGATTAAAAAAGACATAATGTATGGCAGACCCATTTGAAGTATTACATATTTCATCTGAAGATTATTAATATAATATAGCTTTAGTAGTGTCAATAGCGCAATTGATTCTTTTTGTACCTTTCAGAGGATTGGGAATAAAAATGATTGAGCCCATTTACCTTAGTCCTTCATTTGACAACTTGTTACCCAGTTATCTGTTTTTACAGGTAAGCTGTCTCTTGTATAGTTTCCTGTATATTAAGTCTGATCTAATGCTTTTTTCTTGAAACTAAGGTTCATTGAACACAACAGAATGTACCACTTGTAAAAACAAAGGCGGGCAAAGGGAAATACTGAGGATTCATGCCACTTCCAAAGCTGTTTATTTGCAGCCTATGATCCCTTCAGATTACCCAGACCACTGATTTCTTGGCCAAAAAAGTGTGTAGTGGGATAAATTGCCTTTCCTTGATCTTCTAGGAGTCACAGTTCACACTGTTCTGTTGAACAGTATAAAATACATTTTGTTTCAGAAGGGAAGGAAAAAAGAAAAATTGGGGGATGATAGATTAGCTATTGGTTAGTTGCATCTTTACAAAAGTCTAATATGTCATAAGGAGAAAACAAAGAGGGTGGAGTTTGGAGAGTTCTTTTACAAAATTGTCATTGTAACAACTAAGTCTTCTCGATTTATTTAATACACATTTCATAAAATATTGAAGATTCAAACCATTTTAATTTTAAGTCCATTGTTTGTATCTTCTTGTGTCTTTTCACCTTATCTCATGATTTTCATATAGTCTTTTCCAGTTATTCTTCAATAGAAATTGATCTTAATTTTTCACAACATTTTGTTTCACATTAAATATTTTCTTAAATTATTATTATTATCTATGAAGAAAATTATGCAATTTTCATTTAAATTGTTAGGTTAGTATTTGTATCATTTTATCATTATCATGCTTTCTCTCTTTTTTGTATTACATCAAATGTATATAATTCTATATAACCAATCCATGTGTATAGCCCATCTCAATCTTATTAGTTAATGTTGTTTCACAAAATGTCTTAAATTTTGGGTAGGTACTTAGTACAAAATACAAGTATGTATGTATGTATGTATGTATGTATGTATGTATGTATATGTATGTGTGTGTGTATGTATATACACACACACACACACATATACACACACACACACATATATACAATATTAATAGTCAGTTCTTGTGGGTTTTTCGGGCTATATGGCCATGTTCTAGAGGCATTTCTCCTGACGTTTCGCCTGCATCTATGGCAAGCATCCTCAGAGGTGAGGTCTGCTGGAGCTGGGAAAAAAGGGGTTTATATATCTGTGGAATGACCAGGGTGAGACAAAGGGCTTTTGTAAGTTGGGCTAGGTGTGGATCTTTCAACTGACCACCTTGATTAGCATACAATGGGCTGACTGTGCCTGGAGCAAACTCTTCTTGAAAGGTGATTATAGTAATAATATTTTCCATCCACAACTCTTGGGTTCTCATTTTCCTGGGTTTTATATTTATTTATTTGATTAAAAGCCAAACTTTCCATGCCTCAAATATTGGAGCCCAATTTAATGTATTAAATTTGGCCTTTTCAAAAACTTCAGATTAAACTACAATCACTTACTATGATAATATTTTTATAATCCATTTTTAAGAACTTTCCCAGATAGCTCCTGAAGACCAGGTCTCTCAACTTCTCTTTCTAGAGGTTTTGTTCCCACTAGTCCATTCAGAATTTGCCTCCAGTATCTTGCTCAGTTCTTTCTCCACCTCTGGTTCCTGTTTTTCATGTTCTGCAATTTCAGTCCATATCTTTCTCAGATTTTGGACATTTTCATAGACACCTTTCCATCCAAGTGAGGACCGTAGTAGCTGTATATTATCTTGCAGATGTAGAACTTTTGATTTGAGATGATCCAGTTTTAATATCTCACCAATTGATTTCTTCTGTATTAAGCTTCCGTATTTGTAACCCATCATATCTATAATGCACAATATATCTTGTAATTTATCCAGTTTGCTGTTTGCAACTTCTAAGGCATTGTTTAAGAGTTCAAATTGTCTATTTCTTTTTTCCATTATTCATTTCAGTTTCCATTTGCTTTTTCTTCATAATACACAATCATCCTTTTATCTTGGCAAAATTAAGTTTTTTAAAGCTTTAGATATCATATTTTTGTATATATATTTTCTATTGCTGGCTATTTAAAAAACAGGTTCCTCTAATTCCTCAGGGAGTGGCAGTTCTGATTATATCAAACTGCTTTTTCAAGGTCAAATCCACTGAATCTACTCTTGAGTAAGTGGTTTTGAACCAATCATTGTAATGCCCAAGTTGTAAGAAACGAATAATGAACCGTTTTTGTCATCTGTTTTACTATCAAGCAAATTTGTTTAGGTTTTCAACATCCATTACTTCACTTCACTATGAAGTTTTGACTTATGTTATTAAATTTCTAGTATTTCTAAGTGCTGTAAACAACAATATCATGACAGTCAACTACATTGCTGCTTTGCACTATTTAGACTCTTGATAAGAAAGAAACAACATTTAGATTGAGATACTTTTAGTTATCAAATAAACTAGGGTTTTAAATATAGCTTTTCTTCCTTTGGTAGAATTTGCCATCTGCAGTGGTAAGCTATGTTTTAAATCCTCAGCCAGGAGAGAGAATTTTGGACATGTGTGCTGCTCCTGGGGGAAAAACAACCCATCTTGCAACATTAATGCATGATGAGGTAAGTGAAGTCGCTGAGCGTTTTCTGTTTCCGCAAGGAAAGTCTGATCTGTGTTTCATTAGCATGGCTTGTTTCACTCGTTTGCTGAGATATACAGATAACTCAAAGTAGCACACCATTAATATTTGAACGTACAGTTTATTTCAAGAGTAACTTTGCAGTACAGCAACATTGTGGAGTAAACATAGATCTTTCAGGGCTACCTATACAAATGAAATAAATAGGGTTTATTTCTGTGGACATGTGCTAGACTTAAAAATGATTCTTTCACCACCACCACCCCCCCGCTCCCCTTTCTCCCGTATATCTTTAAGTTTGCATATGTAAAATTTCAATAAAAACTTTATTTAAAAATGTACAAGTGGAAGATACAGGAGAGCCAGCATGGTGTATGGGTTTGGGTTTTGGATTATGACTCTGAAGACCACGGTTTGACTCCTTACTCAGCCATAGATACATACCGACTGGCCTTGGGTAAGTCACCCTCTGTGATCCTCAGAGGAGGGCCATACAAATGCACTCTGAAAGCTCTTGTGAAGAAAATCCTGTGATAGGGTCACCTTTGGGTTGCCAGATATTAGAAGGCATTCAGCAACAAGAACGTAGAGATAACATAGTATTATGGGGCAAAATACATTCCAAATTAATCAGGATTGGTCAAACTATGTATTTACTGTCTAGTAATCATGACATAATCATACTGTGTTTCATGAAATGTACCATTTTTCTATATGGAAGAATTTTATTTTGGAAATTCACCTTTTGCATTTTTTGTAGAGTTTTGCATTTTTCCATTTCATTATGAGTTGGAAAGGTTGCATTCTCTATTAAAATACTTTGTTCGTCTTAGATTGCCTTGGAACAGGGGTGTATTTTGTAAGATGTTGGTTTAGCAACTGGAGGCCCAGGATATAGTGGTTTAAATCCCTTCCTCATATTGCAGGCTCATGTTGACCACATCTGCTTATGGAGAAAATCAGGCAGGATCACTAATAAACATACTGCATGTTGAAGCATTTCACCCTGGAATGAGGTTTTTGAGTGAATGTAATATTTTTATATATCTATGTTGGTCAAAATCAAATAGATGTGTTAAACAGGAACATATCAAATACCTTACTATTGGTGTTAATGCTTGCCATATTATACTGCCCCCCCCCCCTTAAAATTGTATGTTTAAATGCGTCTATTTGAAAAGAACCCATTACCAAATATTTTCAGCAATTCTGCATCCATTTTTATCTTCCAATATATTTTTCAGGGAGAAGTGATAGCTCTGGACAAGATAGCAGACAAAGTGAAAAAGATTAAGCAAAATGCTTCCCTACTGAAGTTGAATTGTATTAAGACATTCTGTTGCGATGGAACGAAGGCACTTGAAATCAACAAGAGAGAGGATGGGCAAGGTAATAATGATTTTTTGTACCTTTTTCCAGGTTGTTTTTTCATAGGATGCTGGGATTGTAGAGATGGAAGGATCATGTAGGGCATTGCCCTGATGAATGGGTATCTGGATATCATTTGAAAACCTCAAATGAAGGAAGAGCCCAGAATCCATGGCAGTTATTGATACTGTTGAATACCTCTTACCATCCCATGGGCCACACTTTGCCCACCTGTGGTTTAAACAGTTATAGCCTTAATGTCCCTGCACTTCAATATATGTTGCTGAAGGGGCACCCATAGAACACATAAAGTTATATCACCCGTTGAAACTTGCCTTCTCATCAGATGGATGTTCACTCTTCCTCCAACATAGCTGTGAAAAGATCAGAAATGTCCACTTCCATTTTAGAAAAAATAAAATAGCATATATAAACACTGATTATGCTTAGTCTTAAAAAGAGTTAAGGTAAACACATCAACCTTCTAATTATGTAGTATGAAGTTAGCTTCTTTCCAATAATTACCTTTAGATTGCAGCACTGTTGTGACTACAACAAGCAGGGGGAGCAGAGGTGCCGAGGTATTGATTAGCATTGTATCCGAATTAACCTACTATTTATTCTTTTCTCAGCACTGTTTGGTAATTTGCTGAGATACCAAGTTTGATTGCTGAGAAAGCATCCTGAATTGTCCTTTAGGGGTGTTTATTAACATGCTTTATTGCAATTACATAATTTTCAAATGTTTTGCATCTGGCCTATTTTTATATGTGTGTGTGAAGTTGGCTATGGGATTCAGAAGATATATTTTATGTTTCAAATTGAAGACTTGGAGATCTTGTCATATATCAACATAATGAGGCTGATTATAAATTCAGATTTTTGAGGAATGGCATACGAGTGAAGGGAAATTTTGCTGCATTGATTATGGCAATTTCTAGAAATTAATTTGTTATGAAGAGTTTCAAACCAATTCCAAAATGACTGCATTTGCAGATTATTCCTGGATAAATTAGCATCAAGCTTGTGTCATTTAAATGGATTTTTCTGGAAAGTTTCCAAGCTATGCCAAAGTTAAGAAAGCAACATGCAGTTTTTGAAATGGTGCCTTATTTGCTTGCAGAAGGACCTCCATTCTCCCCAGAATCATTTGATCGAATACTCCTTGATGCTCCTTGCAGTGGGATGGGGCAGAGGCCAAATATGGCTTTTTCCTGGTCTTTAAAAGAAGTGACTTCTTATCAGCCTTTGCAACGCAGGCTCTTTTCAGTGGTACGTATTCATTGTAAAAATTGCTGATGAAAGTTGCAGATGTAACTGAAGAAGGTTGTGGACATGCAGCGTTGTCTGGAGAATCCAGTGACCTTGCAAGTTGCTTCATTAGATCATAGCCCACATTCTTACATAGTGATTAACAGGGAATTCTTGCTTATATTACCAGTTCATCATGCCAGGCATCTGTAGAGTTTCCACTGTCTTATCTCATCTTGATGTACAGATTAAAAGGAAAAGTTGGTTTTTATCCTTTGGGTAATCCTAATCTTTAGTTCTGTTTTACCCACTCTCATGAAGTTGGTACTAATGTTTGGCCTGTAAACTGGTATTTTTTCAAGAAGGAGGGTCATTAAAGTGCCAAATATACAAGGTACAAGTAATTGCTCTGTAAAAAAAAAACAGCAGCATTTTGCATGTTTATTTTTAGCTTTACCTCTAGACAAAATAGAGACATTGAAAATGCATGATTTTCCTTAAGTATCAGTTATGTTTGCAAATGAAGCAACCCTGGTAATATACCAAGGGTCCATTGAGCCAAACCATATATCAAAGTTTGAAGAATTTTTTTACGGTTTAAAATTCCAAAAATGTTTATTAATTTTTAAAAGGCAATCACATCTAATGATCATGACCCATTTAATGTGAGGCTGTTTTCTAAAAACTTTATCTGAACCCCTTTGAAATAGCAGATAGCATAGCTCTTTGCCTGTGGATTTTTCTTTTCTTATCTCCAGTATGGAATACATAAAGTGCATAGTCTCTTCTCCATCGAAAAATACATTTGTTATACCTTTAGACCCTTTAGTCTCACCCAAACAGCATATAAATGAAATAAAATAAATCAGTTAACAGTGAATGTGTAACCATAGTTGCTAAAGTCAACCCAAACATTACATTAATGCATCCACAGAAGGAAGAAAATAATTTCTATCTGAAAGCATTAGTAGATAGAACAGGAAGATGGCCTGGTATGCCTACTGCCTTATCTGAAGAAATGTTTAATCTCTTTCTGTGTTTAGACAGACATTGGAAACATCAACAATCATGATTTATTCAGCTGTGTTCTCTTGTGTATTGGAACCTGCTGAGCCAAAGGGAAGAGGGAAGCTTGAGTCTTGACCTAGAATCCTCAGTTCAAAGAATTTCAGTTCTAAAATAGCCATTCTGCCTTTCCCAAAGGAGAAGCCACTGGTGGATTATTGATTAACTTTCTGAAAGTATTTGATAGAAGAAAAGACCACAAGAGCCATCCAGTCCAATCCTTGCCATGCAGGAACAAGTAATCAAAGCACCCATGATAGATGGCCTTCCGGTGATTATTGATTCCTCACTGAATGCGACCAAGCATTCGGTGATTACTGTATCAGTGCAATAAGAAAAGATGAAATAGTGCAATGACAAATTGGAATGGCCATGGACTACGATATTGGATTGCTTGATTTTAAATAATAGGTTTTAAGGTTTTATGTTTTTAAGGATTATTTTAATGTATATGTTTTTATTGTGTGTTTGTAAGCCTCCTTGTGTCCCCTACGGGGTTGAGAGGGGCGGGGTATAAATACAATCAATCAATCAATCAATCCAGCCTCTGCTTAAAAATATCCAGAGAAGGAGACTCCACCACACTCCCAGACAGCTTATTCTACTATCAAACAGCTCCTATCATAAGGAAGTTCTTCCTAATGTTTAGGTGGAATCTCATTTCTTGTGCTTTGAATCAACGCTGTATGTCCTAGTCTCCATAGTATGAGATAACAAGTTTGCCCCCTCCTCAACGTGATATCTTTTCAAATATTTAAACATGGCGCTTATTGTTTATTGTTTAAACATGGTGCTCAGCCTTATTTTCTCCAAGTGAAACATACCCAGCACAATATACGATATTCTGATGATCAAACCTTAGGATCCATTTGCAGTGGCTCTTTTGTTGTGATGTGTCTTTATTCTACCATAGGCTGTTGTCACAGATGTTTGGCTACAGAAAATGCAGGAAGGTTGATAAACTGATACATGCAAAGGCAGCTTTCAGCAACTTTAATGGCTTAACAAATTTTGAACCACCTCTCATAACCTAAGAAATACTTCTTAGACAGGACTACAGTAAATATGTGTAATGAATACCAACTGGATTAATTCAACTGTACTGAGAAAATAGACCTTGCTTGTATTCTACAAAGTAATTTTGCTTATGAAATGTTGGTGGTTTCCTAAAAGGTGAATCTATTGTATCCTTAGGCAGTGCAGCTACTGAAGCCCAAGGGCATCCTGGTATATAGTACCTGCACAATTACACTCTCTGAAAATGAAGAGCAAGTTGCTTGGGCACTGGAGACATTCCCGTGTCTCCAGCTTCAGTCACAGGTAGGAAAATGTTTATTGGGGGAAAAACACACTAACTGTTTAACATAAATAAGCTTCTTTGTGGTCATTCTGTGAATCACACACCTGGGTTATCTGCATCTGCGCAGCACCCCTTTGGATAGTTCTCATATCACTAGGCAAAATATTTTTTGGTGGCAGCCCTGCCCACTCTTCCGAAGGCATATAAGGAGCCGGTTGCCACCAAAATACCTCAGTTCCAAAGGCTGTGGCTGCACCTCATGAGACCAAGGATGGTATGAACCTTGAGGGAGAGGATGGGCAGGGTTGTGTGAATTCACAGAAGAACAAGCCTAAGGAAATACTTGGGCTTTTTCCCTTTCCCCTAACCTTTTTTCTTTTCTTTTTTTCTTTTCTTTTTTTTTTGCACAGCCAGAAAAAAGGCTTTTGAACTGTTTATTTTCTTTTTCAAAAAATTATCACCTAATACCATATATAAATCAGAGATTGTGATTTTTTTAAAAAAAATATGAACCAGTTAACCAAGTTCTTCTTTGTTTTAAAACTGGCTTGTATAGAAACTAGTCTAAGTTTTAAGTTCTCAGATCAAAACCAAACATTGCAGAGGTCTTTTCCTTCTGTGCAGGAAAAGGAGATGGGGAAGGGCTTTTCATGGGTGTATATTAGCTCATTTACATACCAATAAATCATAGTTTAAGGTTAACGTGTGAACCAGCCCAGTCAGTGTCCAGATTTCTGATTAGGTAATGGGGAGGGGCATTTTTTTCCTTGGCTGCCATAACAGCTGCATTGAGAATTGGGCAGACTTTCTAGTTTTATGAATAAAGAGTTCTCATATTCTGTATAGTTATCCAAGTTCTGCACCTTCATGGCTCATATTTTTGCTGCCCCTGTGTTATCTTCCTGTTTTTACCCAATTGCCATTTCATCTTTAGATTTATTTCTTTCCCTTATTTTCAAATAAGCACTCTCCAGAAATAAGTACTAATTGTTTACCTGTAGTTATGCTTCAACTGGGTCTAATGTGCCCGTGCATGCTGGTTGTGAGATTCACAAAGACCACGAAGAAGTTCTAGTTGCTTCACAGGATGGTCATCGGTCAAAATGCATTAGACTCAGTTGTATGATTCAGAGACCACGAAGAAGAAATTCTGAATTGTTTGAAAAATCAGATACAAGAAACCAAAATATATTGCACAAAGTATGCTTAGTATATGTGAATCCTTTTTCTTAGAAAGCTGTTGTCGCTGATGTTCAGAATTTGGTAGGGCGGGGAAGCAGTTAATCCCATTTTAAAACTGCTTCAGTGTGCCATGCCTGACACTTAGTACAAAGAGCAACTCAGCCTTATTGCTTTCTTCCTACCTGCTAAAGTGGAGTGCCAAATCAGAAGCCAGCAAGCTGCTGAGCATCAGGGCCAGAGGAGAGTCCTGTTAACTCTTTTGTGGCGCTGAGCCCTGTTTGCCCCCTTTAAAGGGCGCTGGGAGGAGCAGATGGAGCCACAATATGCCTGTGTTGACTTATCCGAAGCAGGGCAGCCTGCTGATCCTGCAGGGAGAGTGGGCTGGAGAAACATCTGTGTCGATGAGCTTTCATGACTCCATTGCCCTTCTCTGCAAGAGTTCAGGCTGTCCTATTGCTTTGCCAGTTAACAACAGTTTTGGATTCATTATCCCATCTAGGTGTTTATGTCTAATGTGTTTACAACAGATACTTACTCCATCTCGGTAGGTATGACAGAAAACTGTGAAAACCTAATATTCAGAATGCATTAAGTAATTGTGCAACTTAGGAGCATTTAATTGGTTACGTTTCACTTCTCCCAGACCTTCACTGACAGAATGGCTAAAGGGATTAGGTTTTAATCTTGCAGGATTGAATGGCTGAGACAGACTTTTAATTTGATACTGAGTTTGGGATAATTTTTATAATCATACTTATCTTGTTGCATGTCTGCAGAAATGCTGAATATGCTGTTGTGGTTGTAATATGTTGTGTTTGAAATGACATGGTATAAACTATTAAAATGTTGATAATACCTTCCCTAGACAGGAGGGGTAAAATGGATATTGCCAGTCAGGATTTCAACAGTTAATGAAATGTCCTATTACATTTCTCTGAAGGACACAGAGGAAGGAGTCATAGGTTGATTTACATCAGTGGTTCTCAACCTTCCTTAACACAGTTCCTCATGTTGTGGTGACCCCTCAACCATGAAATTATTTTCATTGCTACTTCATAACTGTAATTTTTCTACTGTTATGAATTGTAATGTAAATATCTGATATGCAGGATGTATTTTCATTCACTGGACCAAATTTGGCACAAATACCTGATACATCAAAATTCAAATACTGGTGGGGTTGGGGGGGGGATTGATTTTGTCATTCGGGAGTTGTAGTTGCTGGGATTTTATAGTTCACATACAATCAAAGAGCATTCTCAACTCCACCAATGATGGAATTGAACCAAACTTGGCACACAGAACTCCTATGACCAATAGAAAATACAGGAAGAGTTTGGTGAGCAGTGACCTTGAGTTTTGGAGTTTTAGTTCACCTACATCCAGAGAGCACTGTGGACTCTAAACAATGATGGATCTGACCCAATCTTGGCATGAATACTTAATATGCCCAAATGTGAACACTGGTGGAGTTTAGGGAAAATAGACCATGCCATTTGGGAATTGTAGTTGCTGGGATCTATAGTTCTCCTACAATCAAAGAGCATTTTGAACCCCACCAGTGATAGAATTGGGCCAAACTTCCCACACAGAACCCCCATGACTAACAGAAAATACTGTGTTTTCTGATGGTCTTTGGTGGCCCCTCTGACACCCCTTCACGACCCCCCCCCCCAGGGGTCCCAACCCCCAGGTTGAGATACACTGATTTACGTGATTCCAAAATCAGGAAATTTGTTTTACAAGTCAGAACTATCTAACTATAGGTTAAAAAAAACTTCATTTGTATATGTCATTTGTATATCTCTATATGCACATTATTAGAGATAGAAAAGGAGAAGAAAGAATAACAACTGTTATATGAGGAATCGAGTGTGTCCAAGCTGTCTCACTCTGCCCCATGTCCTTGAATCTGTCATATGACCAAGCAGCATTGTATCTAATCTCTTTCTGTCTTGGCACTGGGAAAGGCAGACATGTTAAGATACCATTCTTGTATATTCTCCAAGATCTGATTAAACGTTTGTTATGTGATACCTTGTGCTTGGAAAAATAAACATGCTAGCATAGACACTAGGAATGCAATCCAAAAAAAAAAAAACCTGCTGAAAAGCAACTCTTTAACCTAGCCCTATTTTTCATTGCTTATTAATAGGGAGGCAGTTCCACCCACTTTATGCATACATAAAAATGCAGTTTATACAGTCTAAACGCTGGATTTAAAGAGATGTATATCTATGTAAGTGTTTGTAGAATTGCTGCCTGAGATCCAGATTAAATAATGAACTCCACAACAATTAATATGACTTTTCTTTTCTTCACTTAAAGGAGCCCCATATTGGGGGAGAAGGCATGACAGGAGCTGGATTGTCACCTGAGCAGTTGAAACAGTTGCAGAGGTTTGATCCATCTGAAGCAGTTTTGCAGGGAATGGATTTGAATTCATTGCAAAGTGTCAAGCATGAAGATTTGATATGTCTGGCAAATAAGGACTGTATAGGATTCTTCATTGCAAAATTCGTAAAAGTGCAGTGAGGATCCTTCAGGAACTTGCCATACAAAACATTTTTTTCTTCTTAACCTTTGGAATAGGCTGAACTGTACCTCATGCTGCAGCAGTGTTGCCAAGCCAACAGACTGACGGCACAGTTGCTATAGCAGCAGTCAAATCTGCCAGCTGTTTCCCTTGGGAGCGATCCACAGGTTGAGGAAACAAGTCTGAGCGAAGGGGCAGCTTCTCTCTGGAATGCTGCATTTGGTTTCACATTAGCACTAGGTCACTGCTTTTAGAAACTGGATTGTTTCTTCACTTTGTCTAGGTGATTTAGTTACAAAAATCAGCAATGAGCTGCACTACAAACCTGCATTTGAAGCATCACAGAAAATAAATCATGAAGATAACTATCTTTTTAAAAAATCTTGTTTACTGCTGTTTTGGAATTAAAATTATTTTATTAAAGGCATAATTTCATAGAAAATGCCTTTGAGTGATATTGGGCATTTTGTTGTTATCTACTATTAATCCATATGGGAATCTTGTTGCTGATATACCACAAAGTTTATCCTCTTTTACATTTATGTATGTACAGTATACAGTAGAGTCTTGCTTATCCAACATAAACGGGCTGGAAGAATGTTGGATAAGCGAAAATGTTGGATAATAAGGAGGGATTAAGGAAAAGCCTATTAAATGTCAAATTACCTTATGATTTTACAAATTAAGCACCAAAACATGATGTTTTACAACAAATCGACAGAAAAAGCAGTTCAGTAAATGCAAACGTTATGTAGTAATTACTGTATTTACGAATTCAGCACCAAAACAGACAAGGGTTCTTTCTTTCTCCCATCCTGGATATTATTCCAGGCGGTAGGCAGACTGCGTTGGATAATACAGAACGTTGGATGAGTGAAGGTTGGATAAGCAAGACTCTACTGTACTTGCTCTCTCTTTATAAGATCTTGATTATTTCAATATCCATATCCAGACACAGTTCTGCTTAGTTGAGGAACCAGTGCAAATCTTGCTATTGACTTTCACTCTATCATCCTTCCTTTCAGAAAGATCAGGCACTGAAAATATTCCCATTGGTTTTGTTAGTTTTCTTTCACCTTTGAAACACTAGCCACCTTTTATATTGTTCTACATTGTTGTCCATTTCTAGGCTAGGGGGTTCCACTCCATTTTGGTGTACTTTATGACACATAGGGGGTCACAGAAATGGCCATGGGGGTGACATGTATCCATCTCTGCCCTAAATGGTATCTCATCAAATATTTAAAGGTAGCTATTGTATTATTCCTTGATCTTTCTTCTCTAAGCTAAAAATACCCAGCTCCCTGAGATGTATTTCATAAAACTTGATTCCTAGACCTTTAACCATTGGTCTAGCTTTTCTGTATCCTTGAACTGTCTAGAACTGGGCACATTATTCCAGGTTGACTGGCTTTCTTGGAGTCATGCTCTTGACTCATGAGGCACCATTTCTTATTCACTTGTAGTATTGTCAAGCCATCCTACATTTGTGCATTTCATTTTCCCTGCCCCAACCAATTATTATTATAAATGCCTTAAAGGATTGGATTCATACCTATTAATAATTAGAACAGAGCCATCAAGATGACCCTTGGTCTTCAATGGAATTGAAGTCAAATTCATAATAAAAATATCACTGGTTGGATTCAACCCAGTAATAATAAGACCGATACATAGCTGCGGGGGCAGGGAGAAGCACAGAGCTGTTTGTGCAAAGCTGTTCTCCGTATGCTGTCATGCAGGATCTTAACCAATGTGTATCACTTCAGCATGCTGAATCATGTTTGGATTTAGGCATGAGTAATTTTTGCTGAATGGGTTTAATTTTTTTTTCTAGAAAATGCATTTTTGTTTCTGAAGTTTAGTCATTAAGTTTGGTCAATGATAACATTCTGTGACGCAGTCAGCAAGAAATTTCTTATGAACATCAGAAGCTTGTGTGATAACGTCATAGTACACACAGAGAGGTTATTTTTAAGCCTCTTAATATTGCCATCCTGTGTAGACATCCGTAGCACCAAGATCTCCAGAGGACCCCCACACATCTCTGCCTAATTTCATGTCTGGCTATGGAAAAGTGGCCAGATATTTCTGCAAACCTTCCTGCTCTTCATCAAACATGGAATCCCATGTGGGCTTTAGAGGATCTTCAATAAGTTTTTCTTTTTCTATTTTTGAAGGGGAGGGAGCAAGGGAGTATCAACCCTGTTTTCCCCAAAATTGTATGTGTTACATAAGAGAAATTTTAGACAAGTAAATATCCGTAACAGCCTAGAGGTGCTAGAAATTTCATAGAACTACACTATTCCTAGCCTGTCTTTGCACTTGAATTGTGGGCTTGTCACTTGGCTAGGAGACATTTAGATCTGGCCATTTCCATCCCATTTCTTTTACTCTTCTACTGATTGATCTCAGATGAGAGAACAGTCATGCCAACTGAGAATCGAGATCAGTTGGCTGCAGAGGTTTATCCTGACTAAGGGCAGTTCAGCTACTGCTGGAAGGCTTTTAGCTAGCACAATAGTCGGCCTATTCCCACCCCTCTGTACATCTCTAAATTAGGATTGCACTGTTTATGTCATGACAGCCTATATATAAAGGAGAGATTGGAATAAAATTGACAGCGTAGAGAGACAGTGGGGGCATGTAGGAACTGAAGAAAGCATCTGTTCTATCTGTGAGCAACACAGAAGTCAGCAAGAAAAGAGACAAGTAAACACATGACTAAATATTAAAAGGACTAGCTTATGCAACAGGATTACTCTTTAAATTGAATTACATCTTTAGAGTTAACAAGCAGAACAGATTTTATCCATCTGATGTTCTGATCTTGTTTTACTTTTAGTTACATGCGCACAGCACTTCCATTCTGCTGCTCTACATATCATATATATACTCATGTATAAGTTGGCCTCATGCATAAATTGAGGGCAGGTTTGGGGAACTAATAATAATAAGTGTTTATTTATGGGTTTTGTACCTGTCAGTAAGGGTCATTCTGTGGAGAGGGGAAAACACCACAATTTTCTAGGCCAAACATTCAAAAATTCTTTTTACCACTTTACTTAGGGAAGAGGATGGCCTTTTTGAATGTCACAGAGAGCACAAAGAATGCAGTAGGGGTTGGTGCTTCTTTTAGGCTTTCCCGTTCACCATTCTATGCAGACAAGTAAATGGTTCCTTTAAAAAAAAGAGTTAGCATACAGAACTTCCACTGACTCAGGGATAAGTTGACTTGATTTTTAGGTTAATTTTTAACTAAAATTTCTACACTTATACATGAATATATACAATAATGCTTCTTTCCCATAATCCCAAGGGTCATAAGATGGATCAGATCTCCCTTTTAGGACAGGGATAGAATGTCCTATTCTCAAATGAGGAAATCCAGTCCTAGATTGCCAGTCTCACTTTTTGTATTAGTCCATTAGTCATTGCTCTGCGATCAGCAGAAATGGAGATTCAGAAGTGTGCCATGGGTGAATAGAAAAGCTTTGGATTCCCAGGGTTGAAAGCTCTCCTTGTACCCTGATATAGCCATGTGTATATATCAGCCCTGAAACAACACTGCAGTGGATTGGCTTTTGGCCTGATCCAACATGATTCTTTTTTACTTTCTTCTTAGGAAGGAAATCATTTCAAGTAGGAGGAAAATGCTGTTTCATCCTTCCAGCCTGAGGTGGAAAATAGGATTGCTCTATAACAGGAATTATGAACAAACAATGAGGAATAGTAGTACACCACTTTCTGATCCCAAATAAGTTTCCTAATGTCAATAACGACAGTGTGTACCAAGAAAAGAATTATATGCCTTAGTATATACTTTCTAATGAAATCCGTTCTGATGACTTTACTTTGTCTCAATTTTAAAAGCAATTAAGTCTGGATCCAGTTCTTTGAATTTCTAGGGTTGAGACTGTTGTTTTCACAAATTTAGTCATCTCTTTTATACAGATGCTTACATAAAAGCTCCTATTTATAGCTGCTGAAGAATTTGACATTCTGCCAGAAACAAAGATAAACTTCCAAGTTAGACATATAAAGAGATGGCGAACAGGAATTAAAAACCAGACAGAGAACACTGATGACAAAACCTACAGCTGCAGAAGAAAAGGTAGACTAGTAACAGAAAAATAATAAATAGTGAGAAGGGTTCCCATAAGGAATGATAGATGGAAAGCAATACTTGCCTTCCCACTGCAGTCTAGTCCTGTGATTATCCTATAGATCTCCCTCTTAGGACAGGGATAGAGTGCTCTATACTGAGGTTTGGCTGACATACCTATCCCATATAACTTCCCATATTTGGTACACGTGTGCTATATTGATGCATCAGATTTAAGATAAGTGCATCCTAACTTTAACATATTTAATCTCATTATTCTTCCTAAGACACTAAACTGTGAAGGACAGAATCCAAATGGGAGTGCTTGCCTGGAAAAAGGTTGAATTCTAACCAAAATGGGTAACCTATCTTTCTTCCCCTTCCACAAAACCTTGACATTTATTTTTGGGGTATTACATCCTAGGATTGCCTGCTCTAAAGTTGCCTAGGATTGGTGTTACATCCTAGGATTCCCCATTCTAAAGTAAAGATACTGGGCTTTGGTATAGGGAAAAGGAAAGGTAGATTAAGAATTAAGGGACTCATAACTGGCCTTAATGTTTAAGATAGCAATGCAGTATTTTCTAGTAGGCTTGTGCATTTTGGTTGAATCTCAATCCATTTCTGCTGGCAGAATTTCAGGAGACCCCCGGATCCATTTTTGCACGTCTCCCAAAAACGGGCAGGTAGCCGAATAGTAATATCCAGTCCACAGCAAAATAATAATAATAATAATAATAATAATAATAATAATAATAATAATAATAATAATGCAGCTAGACCTGGCCCATCGTCGGCAATGGGGGGAGGGGCTTCCTGGGCTCCCATTCCCATCATTTTAGGGCTATTGGCATGAAAATGACCACATTTGGAGGACACGTCTACCACTGTTAGCCCACAAAGTTTCATAACGTTTGGCATATCCCCTGATTTTTAGGAATTTTTCTTTTTAGAAATAAAATCTCCTTAAGAAATTCCCCAAAAGGTACCCGCCCCCCACTGGCCCCACCCTGTGACTTCTCTAGGAGCAGCAGCAGGTCACAATTCCTTCCTGCCAAATGTCAAAGTTACACACAGCCCACTGCTCCATTACACTTTCTTCTTACTAGTAATAATAATAAAAAATCAACAAGCAACTTCTTCCAAAGTTTTTGCAATACTTATTCTCACAAACGCTGGAAAAGGCCAGCAACAGTGGCAAGCAAGCATTGTCCCCTTATTAGGGAAAAAAAAACCCTGTATGATCCACTGGAGGGGGGGGAGGACATTTTCAAAATGTATTGTGGGAGATTTAGCAATTTTTTGAGGGGGGGGGCTGTTTTTGCAGCATATTATGT